CCCAAGTAGCTGGGACCACAGGCGCCCGCCACAACGCCTGGCTATTTTTGGTTGCAGCCGTCATTGTTGTTTGGTGGGTCCGGGCTGGGGATTCAAACCCGCCACCTTAGGTGTACGTGGCTGGCGCCTTAGCTGGTTGAGCTATAGGCGCTGAGCCAAATTTGCTCGTTCTTCTGTGTCCCCCATCTCAATTTAAAATGTTCCTCCCATAGGCTTAGCACCCTTAGCACAGTGGCTAAGGTACAAGCCACATACACCAAGGGTGGTGGGTTCGAACCCAGCCCAGGCCAGCTAAACAACAATGACAACTGCAACTAAAAATAGCTGGGTGTCATGGCAGGCACCTGTAGTCCCAGCTACTTGGAAGGCCGAGGTAAGAGAATCACTAGAGCCCAAGAGTTTAAGGCTGCTATGAGCTGCGATGCCACAGCACTCTATGGCAACACAGTGAGACTCTGTCTCAAAAAAAAAAATGCTCCCATAAAACCTATTATTCAAGCTACAAGCTGCTCGAGATACTGTGAAGAAAAGTAAAAGGCAAGTCATAGATCAAAAAAAAATCTCCAAAACTACATACCTGATAAAAAATTTGTTTTCAGAATGCATAAGGAACTCTTAAAACTATGTAAGAAAACAACCAATAAAAAAATGAGCAAATGATTTGGAAACTTCACAGAAGTTATGGGAATGGCAAATTAGCACATGAAAAGATACTCAACATCTTAGTGACATACTCAGTCACCAGAGAATGGCAAATCAACACCACAATGATATGCATGATATGCACTAGACATCCACAGAATAGCAAATGGTGATGGTTCAAAGGTATACATATTATTTCAAAACTTATCAAATTGTATATTCAAATACGAACAGTTTATTGTATGCAAATTATACCTCTACAAAGCTATTTAAAGAAAAAAGAAAGACAATACCAGCTGAGCAAGGTGGCTCATGCCTGGAATCCTAGACATCTGGGAGGCTGATGTAGGTGGATTGCTTGAGCTCATGAGTTCCAGACCAGCCTGAACAAAGAGCAAGACACT